TACTACTCCGAATAGCCTTAAGAAACTGCAGGAGTGGTTAGTAAGATAGCAGGAACTATTAAAGCACCTCGAAGAGGTTAAATCGATACCCGTAACGTATATTTAGGTGGCAGATTTCTTTAGGGGTATCCGTAGTATAGCTAGCTATAACTAGACCGAGGTAGAGGGACGTCTCCTCGATAAGGAAGTAGTCTAACCCAAGGATCTTTATACCCTTAGATAACGATATATCGAGACTAGACTTAAAGACTAAGGAAAGTGCGGTAACCATCGCGTTATAGTATTCTCTGCACTGTATACTAGAAGCGAAGAGGGTGAAGATACCTTAGAGACCACGGCTAAGCCTAAAAGGAAGGGCGGCCGTGGGAAGAATAAAGCTAAGAATCCCACTACCGCCGCATTTATAGCTATACCTTCTATTACTTTAACTAACCGCTCTTCTTCTAAAAGACGTTAATTTGCCCTGCGATAAGGGGAACCCTGCCGCGTATATACTATGCCTAGTTATAATATTAACGCCTGCTACTACTTATTCCCGGAAATAGTAACGGACGGTTAGATTATATACGATAGTATTAAAATAACCGTCTAATAGATCCTTAAATACGACCCCGTGATACGCGCGGAAGTAAAAGAACTACGTGCTATAAAGAAGGTGAAGAAGGATATAGGCCAGGACTCTATATAGCTTAAAGAAGCGTGACTTAACTATAGTATCGTCCGTAGCGGTGTGTTTTACGCCGCTACCTTTACGGCTAGCACTACTACTAGCTACCCTCTTTAACCCTCTACTATCCTAGATTCCGGCGTTACTATTTATATTTTTAACGAATTTTCCCGTTTTTCTGATTTTATACCCACTACGTAGGGAGACTACGTAGTCGTAGGCAGCTTATCGCTGCCTATTAAAGGTTACAGTAACGTGACCGTGAGATTAAACAGACTAATAGGAGGCCTGGACTTTAGGCTCTTAAACATCGTATACTACGCAGATTTTACTTATAATTTAATCTTAAACTAGCGGTTACGACTACGAGGATACTAGTAGGATTAGAAGCCACTAAATAACTGCCTTTAATGTGTCGATAAATCTATACTATACTAGCTAAGTCATCACTTCGATTAGACCGTTATTAAGTACGTGCCCTATAATTCTAACCACTCTACGGCTACTTTTCTAGGCTCTTCTTCGTCGTCTTCTACCCGAAAAGCCGTCTATAAATCAACGATACGTTATCAAAGCATTATAGAGGGCATCTTATGATATGTACGGCTAGGGCATGCTGGCCCTAAGCCTCTTAGGCACCTAGAAAAACAGACGTAGGGGGTTAAGATTAAGGGACTAGTAACTATCGACTATAAGGCCTATAAGCTTATAAAAATAAAACAGTATATTAGTAAGTGCCCTCGAACTATACCTATCTACGTAAGGGAATAGTAGGCGATTAATTTCACGGATTTTAACTAAACGTCCGACAGGAACTCAAGGTTTATATTTTTCACCGACCATTATAGTGGTTTTATAGCCACTTACATTATAAAGAGTAAGCTAGTAGCAGATATCCTTATAATAATTAAGGAATTCCTCGCTTAAGTAGACCGTTAATTAGATTATAAGATACGCGTTTTCGAGGCTAATAATAAGCTAACTTAATCTAATAATATCACTCTCTTACTGTGCGAGGAGGGCATTCTATTAGAGGTATCTACTACCAATACTTAAGTATAGAACGGGGGTGCCGAATACGCTACTACCGTGGTGATTTCAAAAGGTTATACGATAAATATCCACGCAAAGCTGCCACTGTTTATATAGCCTAAGACCATTCCCATAGCTACGTACGTCTATAACCACACGCTACGAAGGCAGCATAATAAGGAGTAAAAGACGCTATACGAGGTCCTCTTTAAAAGGAAGCCGATTTTATTATATCTTCGAGCCTATAGTTATAAGGCGTATACGATAACTAAGGATACCTAAAAGGGCGCTAATAAGCCATTAAATCGTATCGCTCCTTATACCTATATCGGCTACCTTATCGGCTACGATTCCACTAATATCTTCCGTATCTAGGTGCTAGGCCGGCGCCGCTACCATATTATTCGCACGCGCGATATAGATTTTAACGAATATACCTTTTTTAACGACGAAACCAACGCCTTTAAGGACGACCTGCGTTAATTAACCGAGGAGTAACTAGAAGACCTAAGTAGTTAGATCGAGCAGGAGAAGGCTAGAGATTTATATTCGTTTATAGACATATAAGCTAAGGACTTCCCTTTTTATATAACTGCTTATTTTGAACTTAACCCTTTACCGGGGCTAGTTCCCCCCGGATCTCTTTCCTTAACGGTGTTACTGCCGTTAAGGTTATAGTCCGTAATACCCGGCCGTAAAGGGGTGGAGGAGGCTATCTTAAGTCTAGGAAGATAAGATTTAGATCACGAACCGTGTAATTTAGCTAGTATAACATTTAATCGCCGTCTATAGCAGCCTATAAATCTATAGCTTTCCACTCTACCGATAACCCCGTTATCGGTTATAGCGTTAATAATAGCCGTGATCTTAGGAAATTATCGTGAAGTACCTACGGCTATAGGCTTTCTCGTGGATAGAGGAACACGATACCACAATATCTCTATAGCAACGGCTATAAGGCTCCTTATAGAGAGAGGAGCGCGCCCTAACCGGTAAGGAGATAGCTGGAAAAAAGACTATTAGATGGTAGCGTTTAACGCTAGCCGTTACACCCCGGATATATATATATTAAATAGGACTCCGCTAACTAAATTACGGTTAAAAAGAACTACGCCTTTAACGCTATAGCGGCGTTTATCGTTATTACTCGAACCTATAGCCCTGATAGCTACCTCGGGAAATATAACCCCGGCGGCTACGAAGATCTATTATAAAGACCTCCCTCCTCCTCCGAAAAACCCTCGCGATATACCCTTACACCCTTATGGCCACCTATTCCGATAGGTATAGGAAGACTACTTACGGAGCCACGAGGAGATAGGGTTGTGGATACGGGTGCCGGCGTCCGTAGCAGATAGAAATCAGGTTCTTAATTCGATATGGATGATAATATACAAATCCGATAAGTATAGGTTTCTATATAAATATAAGGTAAGGCTCGTAGTGCCAGGAGATTAGCAGTATTAATTCTCGCTTAAGGAGATATATATAATAACTTTAGCCGGGAGGTTATTCCGCGCGTTAATAGCTATCGCCGCCTATTTTAACCTTACGCTATTATAATGCGATATTATAAACGCGTTTATATACTCGCCCCTCCCCTATAATATCTTTATATACCCGCCGCCAGGTTTTCTAGCCCCTAGGAGCTATTTACACCTGAAAAAGGCGTTATATAGGCTTAAGGAGTCCCTATTGCTATAGTAAAAGCACTTTTCGGCTATCCTTTTAGCGGACGGTTTTTAGATAGTGCCGTACGAACCGTGTTATTTTCTGCGTCGCGGTTTAATTCTATTTTTCTACGTTAACGATATCGTTATTACTTATAAGGAATAAGATAAGGTACAGATAAAGCAGACTATTAATAACCTACAACGCCACTATAACCTATAAGGTAGCGATCCTTTATAGCGGTTCCTTAGTATTAAGGTTATTCGCGACCGTGCCGCCCGTAAAATCTAGCTATTATAACGCGACTATACTACTAAGTTAGAACGCCTATTAAAGCCGAATAGTAAGAATAGCAGTAACTATCGCCTAACGCACCTAATTAAGGTTATAGAATTACTGCCCTATTCAGGGACCTTAACTAATATTAAAAGCTATTAACGGAAGATATAATCTATACTATATATAGCAGTGGTATCGCGGCTAGATATCGCTTTTATAGTATTAAGGCTATACCATTTTAATATCAATCCAGGGCCTATATACTATAAGGCCGCCGATTATCTAATCCTTTATCTAATTAATAGCTAAACATTTACGTTAGAACTAAGGAGTAGCGATACTATCGAAATTTATACTAATACCTTATTTACCGATAATACCCTCAATTATAAGAGTAGCTAAGCGTACGTAATACGCTTATTTAGCGGCATAATCATGTGGCGCGCTAATAAGTAGGATACGGTCACGACGTTAATAACGGAAGCAAAGCTATTAGCGTTAGTATAAGGTATAAAAGAGGGTATCTTTATATAACGCCTATTACTTAGTATAGGAGTGGAATTTAACGATCCGGAATTAAGGATCCTATACGATAATAACTAAACGATTCGGTTAGTTAATTAAGAGATTCGCACGTTAATAACGCGCCTCCACTATATCAATATCCACGGCTACTAGTTACGATAAGTAAAGTAATAAGGCTAAATATATATAATATATGTGGCGAGCGCGGAAATAGTCGTAGACGGATTAATAAAGGTATTATACGGCGAGAAAATTAAGATATTTAGGTCCTAGGTAGGAGTAATAGATTTACGGGAACGGCTATAGTAAAAATAGCTGGAGGAAGTCCGGATAAAGTATTTAGAGAACCTAGAGGATGAATTTAAGGGCGGATATAGCGAAGAGATTATATAGGTTATATGCCTAGTATATCTGCCGGTTACGAATAGCTTTAATCGCCTAACTAACATTTAGAGCGATTAAGGGGTATATCGAATAGACTATAGTCTTTTTGGTTATGTAACGGGCCGGATTACTAAGAGCATAATCCGGGTAAACGCTTACAGAATCTACACTATATAAAATACGGTAGCAGCGATTCCCTAACGGTCCTTACACGGTCACACTATTGCCTTAATTAATCTTGACCTTTTTTGTGACGATTTCGACTACGCTTTATTTAATAAGGTATAGTTCTTAAGCTTAGGGATAAGCTTAGTATAAAGTTAGGCAGGCTAAGAGGTGGGTTACGTAACCTGCCTTTATATAGAAAGCTTTTACTAGCTTCTCCTATAGCCTAGGGTAGCGGCCAGCTTCTTCCTTATATATAGATATCCATACCACATATACGACGATTATCTCACACCACAGTATCGCCTCCAGACACATCATGCCAGCCTGCGTCTATCAACGGGTTTAACTCTTGACGAGGTCGAATTTTAAATCGACGCCTGGCAGTGTTTGACAATTGTCCAAATCATCTTTTGCCATCATGGGCAATGATGGCGGCTCCATCCCCAAGCGACGGGAGCTGGTCAAATCGGCCGCTCGCGCTCTCACCATCAGCGAGATGAAAGCCAACGCCCACGAATCCCTCGGCCACGCTTGGGCTCACGATCCGCTCACCAACGAACGGCTCGACATGGACAACATCGTCTCCGACTGGCGCGGTCGTCTCTACAACTACGAGACCATCCTCAAATCACTCATGCCTTCCGACGAGCACCCGTCAGCGGACGCTCCCCACGACCCGTCTACCGATGGCTACGCCGGCCTAACCTTCGCATCCACAGGGATCCGATCGCTGCGCGACATTGTCAAGCTCAAGCTCACACGGTCTGGCGACAAGGGGAAAGACGTGCGGATCTGCCCCATATCGCTCAAGGAGCTCGGGCCGGCTACGAAGGCCGTCTACCTAGTCCCCTGCGGCCACGTCTTCGCAGAGCTGGCGATTAGGGAAATCCGAGAAGAACTGTGCCCCGAGTGCAGCGAGCCTTTCAAGAGCGAAAACGTCGTGCCCATACTACCGGGCGACGAGGCGGACCTCAAGAAGCTAGTGCGGCGTATGGATGACCTCCGCGCTGCTGGTCTCACCCACGCATTGAAGAAGGACAAGTCGGCGGGTAAGAAAAAGCGCAAGGCGAAGGACAATGCGGAGGGCGAGAATGGGAAGAGCTCGTCGGCAGAGAAACGGCAAGCCACGGAGGAGGCGGTCAAGTCTGCCAAAAAGGAGGCGCCGAGCAGGACGAGCGGGATCAATAACCCCCTTGCGGCATCACTGACGGCCAAGGTGATGGCCGAACAAGAGGAGATAAGCAAAAGACGGAAATTGGTAGCCAGAGCATGAAAGGTAATTTGCTCAACTTGTGACGGGATATGACTGAGATGATGCAGACGTGTAAGATCAGAAAATAAGTCACTGATACCCTTTTTTGATTTGGACAAACGGTGGTTTTTTTTTTTTCCCTTCTGGAAAATGCAAGTGCAAACTGTGTTGTGTTAGGTGTTGGGTGTTAGATATTCGTTGCCTCCCAAGGCAATTCCAATTCGCTATGCATCTCGAGCTTTACACACGCCCCCCATGCTACGACGCCGGCTCCCTCAATACAATATTTACACCGCCCACGTATCGAGACTCCCCATTTTTATCCAACTCACTTACAACTCGTCCTTTGCCCTGGGTTGAGTCGCCTCAACCAACTCGTCGCAGGCCGCCGGCGTGCCCACTTCCATCTTGTACACGCACTTCTCCAACTCCGACACCTTCCACAGCTCCTCCGTCTCGCTGCAGGCCAGCCAAACAGCCGTGCTTCGCTTCGGGCCGTTCCAGCATTGCTGCCCATCCTCGTAGCGCAGCACCATCCGCCTGCCCCTACCAAGGCTCTTACCGTCCGCGCGGTCCTCCTCGTCGGCCATTTCGTAGTCAATGCTCTTGTATCGGCCCATATTCGTCTTGCCGTGGCCCTTCTTCGATTTCTGGCTGGTAGAGCCCATCCAGCAGAGCTCGTACTCGTACTCTCCCGCGTCGGTCGACACGCACTTGTCCTTGAGGACACGGAAGATGTCGTCGACGCCGTAGTCCAGCTCGAGATCCTTCTCCTGATCGCTGAGCTCCCTTTCCTTCTTGGTGACGTCCTTGCCTGCTGCATCTTTGGCTTCGCGCGCCGATCTCGCGGCATGAGACTCCGTTCCCGGCTTCGTGTTTTCGGCAACGAGGCCGTTGTCGACGAGCCAGAAATGGAGAAGCTTCAGCTTGGACTGGACAAAATCGCGAGCGAAAGCGGGAAGGTAGGCTTGGAGGTTGTATACTGCAGCCAGGTCAGATGGAAGTGCTGGGGAAAAAAAATTCAAAGAGGGAGAGAGAGAGACAAGGGGGGGAGTTCTTGGCTTGGGTCACCCTGTTTCACTTACTGATATCCGTATCCGAGGCCTCCTCCTCCTCAAACTCCTTCCAATTGATACCGGTGTCTTCCGAGTCCTCGGACAAGACATCGCGCAACTCGGCATCCGAGACTGCGCTGTTCGATTCTCCGGCCACTCTGGCAGCATAGTCTTCCCAGCCCTTGACAGCCCGCTTGACACCCTCGTCGTTGAAATTGGGGTTATACTCTTCCTTGAAGCGACGTAGGATGCCCTCGAGCTCGTCCACCTTGGCTCGGAGCTCCCTTCGGTTTTCGACCACTTTCTCCAAGCTCTCGCGGAGTTCGGCGATGCGGTCCTTGGCGAGCCCGACAAGGACGCCAAGCTTTCCGCCCTCTCCTTCGCTCCTGACAACCTTGCTTTCGTCGGCCCGCTTGATTTCCTCGTACCTCTTCTCCAGCTCGTCCCTCTTGGCAGTGAGTTTTTGGATCTGTTGCCTGAGGGACGCAACCTTGGCCTCCACGTCGCGTCGGAGCACCTTGGCCTCCGTGACCATGGTTTTGCGCTTATTCAACGCCTTTTCCTGGGCCTTCTTGCGCTCCCCCTCCATCCGGCGGTACTCCTTGCCAATCTCGTTGCAGCGGTTCTCGCACTTGACGCCTCCCACGCCGCCGTATTCCTCGGTGCCGTCGCAGCATAGTTCGTAGTCACAGACGCCGTCGTTTACGTAGAGGAAGGGGACGTACGTGGCCAAATGGCCGGCATTGGCGCACCAGAACCCGGGGAGGACATTGGTGGTGTTTGTGCTACCCGAAGAAGAACCGGGGAGAGGTTGAGGCGGAGAGCGATCGTTGAGGTAGGCGCATGCTGCGGTTCCGGGCTCATCGGAACCATCTGGGCAGTCGCACGAATTGTCGTTGATCTGAGAGAAGCCGAGTCGAACATTGGGGTGGCCGATGCACGAGAAACCGTCTCGGATGTTCTCGTAATATTTCGCAACTAAGATAGCAGGGCGTTGCCGTTAGAGTATTGGGCGCAATGGCTTGGGGAAGCGAGATGGAAATACGTACATTCAGGACCAACGCCCCTGGGCAAAGATGCCGCAGAAGCGGATCCAAGCGACAGGATGGTACCCAGTAATACCAGGCCTCGACTCCGATACATGATGGCAATGCCGAACTCGACTTCCCGCTGTCGTAGAGGGAACTTGAAGAACAAGGAAGAGAAGGAAGAGGGAGACGGGAGACGAGGAACGGGAAACGGGAAACGGGAAACGGTCAAGGCCTCGAACCAGCCAAGTGGAAAGCTCGAGCTCACCTAAAACGCCCACTACACTACAGAGATGATCAGAACATGTGTCAGCAATGTCACGTGGAGATAAGAGCTCTGGATGTCTGTTATCATCTCCTCACAGTAGCACCACTACCCCTCCACAAGATACGTAATTTCCTTCGCGGGGCAATAGGAAACTTTTTTTCCCCTTCACCTCTGCCGCCCCATCGCTTCATCTCCATTGGAGTAAGTTGCCTCAAAAATGTCGACCAACTCTCCCGATATGTCCGTCCAAGGACTCAACACCCTCGCGGCCACGGCAGTCCATCTTCTCCAGCAGTTAGAATCAGTCTTGCTCCAAATCTATGACAACAGGGACCCCTCGAATGAGGCAGAAGATGCCTCTGCCTCTGCCTCTGCTTCTTCGACATCCACCTCCGACCCCTCCTCCGTAGACGCTCTTTCGCTCGCCGGCGACTCAGCCACTCTCATCAGGGCACATGCCACAAGAATATCCGTCCTCATCATCAACAATCCGTTCACCCCTTCAGCTATCATCAAGGTCCTTCGGGAGCTCGTAGGGAGCGCTGTTCCCGGCCTTGCCGCAGCGGCCCAATCTTGCACGTCCGACAGGTACACCCTGACAGTGCGACGGGACCTCGCCTGGAAGACGTACACGGCTCTCAAAGAGCTGCGCGGGCTGATCGAGCGGATCCCCGCCGACGGCAAGATTCTGTCCGATGATCTGCAGCAGCATGGCTCCGCCGCCGCCGGCACCAGCAAGGGGAGCATCCTGGCGACGGGAACCCTCTGGGCCGCTTGCGATGAAGTGGTCCGCTTTTCCAAGGCTGGCGTCGGTGGTTGTTTCGTGAACAAAGTCGAAGAATTTCGGGATACGTTGGAGGATGTCATGGAAGAGTTGAAGGAATGGGGAGAAGAGACTCCGGATGACGACGAGGACGACGAGGACGACGACGACGACGACGATGACGATGATGATGACATAGCCGACGATACGGACCGCGACTCGGGTGTGGGGTCGATGATGCCCTCTGCCCAGGATATGGTCGACGAGATCATGGCGTCGACGCAAGTCATTCCCCGCGATGACCCGGACCGGATTCGGGATCGGCTCGAGTCGTGTCTGAAGAAGATCCGGCTCACCACCCTCCTCTACCAAGGTATCATTAAAAGGAGGTTGAAGGCGCTCCCTTCGTTGCCCAAAGAGGGATCATCGCAAGTGACGGATCGTCTGGATAAGATGGTCGAGTCGGTCAAGTCACTTTCATGTCAGTTTGACGAACTGGCGGGCACCTTCTATGAACTCGACGTAGATGAGATCGATCGAATGTCCGGCCAGTGCTTCTCGGATGTATGTACCCTGTCGAGGCTGGTTCAGAAGCCGTGGGATAAGGACAGCGATGAATTCACCGAGTGGGCGGAGAAGTTCCGGACGCAGATGAACAAGGCCAAGGCACCGAGTTAGCGACGGCGGAAATACAGAAAGTACAATACCACATCGTTTGGGAGCATGAGCGAACGAGACGAGTCAACTTGTAGTGCACACTCAACTTTGAGCTGTCGAAACGGCACGACCTTGGACGAATAGTTAATGTGACGACGAGGTCCCACGGATACTCGCTCCTGTTTTTTTTTCTCTTTTTCTTTTTTCTTCTTTCTTACTTCTTTTCGTTCCGCTTATTCGGTTTCCCTTATCCTCCCTGAAAGCTGAGCGCAACATTGATTGTAAAAATCGTGCATTGATCCTTGGCCGGGTTGATCGCATGCCGTTCCGAATGCGATGGACCAATACAATGAAGGACGTGTTTGTTGGCGATGACTCACGCGGCGTCGGGGCATCAGCCTTTTCTCAACTGTCAACTACGACAAAAGACAGCACCATCACAGGCCGTACGTCTCAACTCTCGAATGACATGACGGTCCGCAGCCGATCTCTACACGGATCACAGCTCGAAAAAATGGAGGCCTATCCCGATGGAATCACCAAAGACTATGAGTACGACCCGGCAGCTGTCCAACGTGTCAACTTCCGCACGGTCAAGCAGCCTCGAGCCATCGTCGACCCTGACCCGTCCTGGCCCCAAGCTTTCGAATCTATCAAAAGACGCATCGCCGATGCTCTCGGCGCAAAGGCCCTCCTGGTCTCCCACGTCGGATCGACCTCGGTCCCGTCCCTCCCAGCCAAGCCCATCATAGACATCGATCTTACCGTCCCAGACGCCACCGACGAGCCAAGCTACGTGCCAGCCCTCGAGTCAGCCGGGTTCCTCTTCCTCACGCGGGAGCCACACTGGCATGAACACCGCCTCTTCACCACGGCCGAGCCGCACTGCAACCTCCACGTCTTTGCGAAGGGAAGCGCCGAGCCTCTGCGGCATCTCATTTTCAAGGAATGGCTGTTGGCGAATGAGGACGACAAGCAACTCTATGTTCGGGCTAAAAGGGAAGCTGCTGCTGCGAGTGTCGCTGCCATGAGCATGATGGATTATAACTTACGAAAGCAAGATGTGATCCGTCAAACCTTGCGGAGGGCGTTCAGAGCCAGAGGGCTTCTCGAGTAAGATCTCTAAGAGTGTTCAGTCCGAGGCAAGAGGTTCTGGATTGGCTTTCCGGGTGAAGAGTCTCGTTCAATCTACCCTGACCAGCGATGCGATGCGGAATATCGAGCCTCGGATCAACGATGGCCTTGCTCACCGTGGTCTACTGAGACTCGACGACTTTTGTGACTCGGCATTCCCACGGCCTGATATATCCATGTGCGCACGCAGGCTAAATAAGCCAAGGCTCCCAGTCAGCGCGTCTTAGGAGGACTGGGCATCTCGCAGCTCTTTAGCCTCTTCTTCCACTCGGTCGTCTCTCGACCACGCGATCGCATACATGACCCAGCCCGGTAGAAAGCCACAGTGATGTCCGTGCCGCCGATGGAGAGATGGGGCAAAATAGAACGCCGGGCCACTGATCGCGGCTCTACCAGGGTGGTCCTTGTTCAGAGCCGAGCCCATTTCCCCCTAACCTACTCCGTCTTCGTATCTGCGTCTCAACTGGGTCTCAACTTCTTCCCCGGCACAATTCCCACGAACACCCTTCTTACATCAATCTTCTGGTTAGGCTCACCAACGTCGCGATCCCTTCTCAAAAGAAATCGAGGTCTTCCCAGTGACACCCGTCTTCAACGTCTCGTAAAGGTCAAGACGTCAGGAGAACTCGCCTACTCCATCGCCACTTTCCTCCTCAAGGCCTCGCCTCCGCATCCAAAAGCGTCGTCTCGGACCTTGGTCGCCCGTCTACACACGATGCTGACATGATGAGGCGATTTGCCGTGCCTTCAATTCTCAAGGCCTTCTCCACCAGGACTCACGGGCATATTGCTTGTTTTCTTCGTTTCCCCCCCGCTCTCTTCATGCGCATCTCGGCCTACATCCATCTGCGTACATGAGATGAGTATAATACATGTAAGAAGGCAGTCCTGGCCGTTGCGTTATTCGTTATTGGGGCTAAAACGTCCATACCCCGAATCCTGGCGAGCTTGAAGTGACCAAAGCGGCGTGTCTTCCGACCCCAGACCTCGGCCAAGCGCCCTAATTGCTCTCATCGACCCGACTACGTTTGTCAACGTTGCAGGGAAGACGGACCCCCTGGCATCTGATCTAATCGACCTAACCTCCCGCAAGATATACCTACTCTATCACGACATGAACAACCTGCAACAATCAACCTGGGTATCCAGTTCGTTCATCCCACGACGCTATGATCTCCACCCTGCTCCATCATCCCCGCCTTGACCGTTACCTACCTGGGATGTCCTGGCCCGCGCCCGGCTCTTATCCCACATTGAGTGCCGAGCTCCGATCTACCATCTGGGGGGGGGAACATGGGCCTTCCCGTGTGCTTTAAAATGCCCATAAATGTCCCAGAAAGGATGTCGATCTTGTTGATCATCCGGTCTTCGCCTGCTGTCTCTGCGTCGCCTGGTATCGACTTTCTCTTCTGGCTGTTGACTGCAAGGGCTCGGGCAACACCTCCAAGATGGCTTTCCCTTCCTTCGTCCAGCTTTTCTTGCTCGCCCTCTTCTCCTTCGCCTCGTCTGTTGCTGGGCTTTGGCTATAGCTTCAACGGAAACAACATTGTCGTCAACGCTGGATCGGCCAACCCCCTGTACTTTTCCGTCTCCCGCTCCAACTGCGACATCAACTCCATTCGATATCGCGGTCATGAGCTTCAGTATCAAAGCCAGGGCACCCACATCGGCTCCGGCCTAGGGTCGGCCAACGTACAAGTCACACAGCAGAACAACTACATCAAAATCACCTGCGAGACCCCCACCCTGACGCACTACCTGGTTGCACGCCAGGGCGACAGCACCATCTACATGGCCACGCACATCGCGGCCCAGCCGTCCATCGGAGAGCTCCGCTACATCGCCCGCCTGAACTCGAACATCCTGCCCTGGGAGCACCCTTTCGGTGCCGTGTCCATCACCGGCGGCTCGTCCGCCACCATCGAGGGCTCGGACGTCTTCCTCGTCAACGGCCAGACCCGCTCCAAGTTCTACTCGAGCGAGCGCTACATCGACCGTGGCGTCCACTGCGTGCACGGCAACAACCCAGAGCCCATCCATGCCTGCATGGTCATCCCCCAGCCGGAGTCCTCTTCCGGCGGACCCTTTTTCCGCGACATCGAGACCAACAACGGCGGCGCCTTCACCGCGCTGTACAATTACATGAACAGCGGCCATGCCGAGACCGAACCCTACCGCATGGGCCTGCACGGCCCCTACGCCCTGACTTTCTCGCGCTCCGGCATCCCGAAGCTGAGAGAGGTCGACTTGAGCTTTTTCGCCCATCTCGGCATCCGGGGTTACGTCCCCGACCACGCCCGTGGTCGCGTCTCCGGCAACGCCTGGGGCATCCCGTCGGGCCACCAGATGGTCGTCCACTGGTACAACAACGAGGCGCAGTACTGGACCTACGCCAACAGCAACGGCGCCTTCACTTCCCCTCCGATGAAGCCCGGCACCTACACTCAGGTCCTGTACCAGACCGAGTACAAGGTGGCGGAGAGGCAGGTCAGCGTTTGGTCCGGCGGCACCGCGTGGGCGGACATCAGCAGCACGTACACGCCGGCGCAGCCGCTGTTCCAGATCGGGCGGTTCGACGGGCAGCCGTTCGGGTTCCGCAACGCCGACAAGTTCCTGCGCATGCACCCTTCGGACCACCGCATGAGCAGCTGGACCCGGACCTTCAACGTCGGGGCGTCCCACGAGGGGGAGTTCCCCATGGCCGTCTTCCAGGCCGTGAATAATAATGTCGAGATGTACTTCCACCTCAACTCGGCTCCCGGCGCCGCCGTCTTCCACGTCTCCACCACCTTGTCCTTCGCCGGCGCCAGGCCCCATGTCAGGGTCAACAACTGGAGCGGGCCCATCCCGCCCGCGCCGCGGAACATCAACTCGCGCGGCGTCACCCGCGGCGCGTACCGTGGCTGGGGCGAGCAGTATTATGTTGACATCCCGGCCGGCGTCCTCGTGGCGGGCCGGAACACCATCACCATTTCTGCTGCTTCGGGGAGCAGCGGCAGCACTTTCTTGAGTCCCAACTTTGTGAGTTTTGAGGATTTCCTTTACTTTTCACCCTTTTCTCGACTCTTTTTTCTGACCTTTGATAGGTCTTTGACGCGGTTGCCCTGTACCGCAGGTAAGGCCCCTAGTGAGACAGCAGGGATAAGGGGAACAAAAGGCAGCGATATGTGCCGTCCGAAGTGAGAAACCCCTTGAACGCGATGATTGTCCGAGTTGTTGGGACCCAGTATACATCCATGCATCTCGCCCATTGATCGGCAAGAGGGTACGACGATGGCTTGCATTTCTTCCTCTCGTACATCATCTATCTCATATTTGACCATGTATCCCTTCAATCATTGAGACCGAGATGCTTTCTTGTGCCCAAGTGAGCTACTTGCCCTTAACTCCATCCGATTGTGTCCTGTTCCTACTCGTACACGTATACCTCTAACAACCAATTCGTTCCACCCTGTCGCCGGTTGAAACTCCAGCCATCGTCGTCGTCACCTTGAGCGTCTTGTTGATCTCGTCTGCTGCTTCGCCTGGCGCAGTAAGGAGTCTAGCTCTCTCTGTATGGCGTCTTGGACATGGCTACTCTGGGGGTAGCCTGCCGACCTCCTATCCGTATATGAGGACCAGGCACCGGAGGCGTCGTTGACGTAACGGTCGATGCTGCAGGGGTTTTGATCGTGACTATGTTATGTTAACACAAGATGCCAAGACCATTCCATGTCTACATGTAGCTAAAGAGGCATCATCGGTCATCTTACCTCGAGGTATGAGATTGGTTGGTGTTATTGGGGGATTGGTTCAAGTTCGACATGGTGTTTGTGATGGTACGTGAAGGTCAGGCGGTCTGCGGCATAGACAACTCGTTAACCTTGGTGGAGATGGAAGACCTTTGGATGTCGGATTTATCCTCAGTGCTGGGATGTAGGCAAAGGCAACTTGGCTTCAGGGAGGCCGATGGGACGATTAGGAGAAGTTATAGACGGCGCTCTTGTTCCAGTGCAGTTCCTCATTTCTCCAGTCCTCCATTTCGTCGTCTACCTTTGCGCCTCATCACTAGGACTAGAGACTGGGCAATCTGCTGTGTATCATGGTCATTTTTACAGTTGGATAGAAGATATCAACGTCGCGGCGATCTTCCATTAACTCTTCGCGATCATAGCACGCACGGAGGCCAATGAACATCCCAGTCCACATGGGTGGCGGGGGGGTGTAAAAGTCAACTGAATCTGGAACATAATTAGAATTGCGCATGAGGATGAGAGAGAGAGTAAAAACCGAGGTAAAAAGGGACAGGAGTCGGGACGCAACTCTGCCAGTTCAAGAATCGGGATGAGGTCAGTCAAAATTTGCCATGAAGAGAGATGCATGTCGTGACGTGCATGCATGGGTCTGCCTACGTGTATACGGACAAAGCCGAGACGAGCAAGCGAAATAATACAGATTGGCCAAGATGAAGAAAACTTACAGGGGTTCAAGCTCTCGGGGTGGCAGCTCAGGGACGGCGCAAGTTAACTTACCCCTGAATTGGCCCCTGAACACCTTGGGAAGTGGAAAAACGTCGACGCAAAAGCCCAGTGGACGCCCCAACGTGCCGTGCCCTTCCCAGCCCACAGCCGGCGCTCACGTTCAATGCCCTGAAACAAAGAGCGTATTCGTAAAAGTGTCGCAGACTCAGGAGACTAGACAGTGGGCTTGGCGGTTGAAGTCGAGTCCTTGGGCGACCTTCAGAAGCGCTGCCGCCCGGGCCCGCCCCTTCCTGTTCCTGTTTTCCCGTCCCCCGAGCCGCACCGGGAAGAAGAGTAGAATGGAGACTTGGGCAATCGTCTTCATCTTGAACGAATCAACGCGTAGGCAACCAAAAAGCACCACCACACGTGGCTCTGGAGTGCTGGGGAGCTTCAGAGGTCGCTTACACCCAATGAAGGACGATGGCCATGTATGCAGATTACATGGTTGCGACCATGGACCAATCCTGTGCTGTCCGGCTGCCTACACCCCTGCCGCCCCAAGTGGTGTCTATTTTGGTCACCGAGCGTGCAGACAGTGCTGAGTGACCAGGGGGACGAGTCCTAGACAGGCGATGGGGATCTCCAGATTTGGAAACAAACTTTGATTGCCGAGGTATTTGTTTGGGAATACGCAGCGTTGCATACATGTACATAATTGCCTATCAGGGCTCCAGGGTGAGAGAGAAAGGGGGGCGTTGTTGGTTGTTGGGTTCGTGGGGAGCTGTAGTCCTGAAATACGGGCGACCTCCGAGGTCCTTGACTCCTTGCAGTCTTGGTCCTCTTGAACCCCAACCCCGGAGAACCTCCTCAGGAACGGACAAGGCTAGGCCTTTTCTTCTTCTTCTTTGAGCGTTTTTCTTTTTCCTTCCCTTTCCTTTTCCTTTCCTTTCCTTCTTCTTCGCTCGCTTGGAACTCGCTCGCTTCCTATTCCTCGGCGTATAACTTATTAACATCCATCTATGATCTAGTCTCAGGCCGACCCGACCTTCCGCTCGTCCATGAGAGGGACGGACGACCATCTTTGTCCATTTCAAGTGGATATACCAACAGATCACACACCACTCACATCTCTACCCTTACCATAACCTCCATCTCCCACGTCATGGTCTCCTTTTCTCAACATGAACCCATAGACGGGGTGGGCAGTTGGTCTTCTTCCATGCCCATTCGATCCCGCGAAGACCCGTCGACCTCGACATCGACGCACCGAAAGACCATCTCCTCGGCCTCGTCACTATCCACGAGCCCATACCCGGACATGTCCACCGTCGAGTCCAACGGCCCATTCAGCCCTACCATGCCCGCTTCCAAGTACCATGAGCATCTCAACATCTCGTCCGTTCCCTTCCAGGCGTGCCATGACCACTCACCCACGTTCTCAACCACGAGCTCCTCACAGCATGAGCCTTCTGATACAGCCACCACGTATTCCTTGCCCATGTCACCCACCTCGTCCACCTTCACTCGCGCAACCACGCCGGACCCCGAAAACATGGGCATTACCATGATCATGGGCATCAGCCGGCCCCAAACGACCAAGACGTCACACCAATATCGCAAGTCTTGCGATTCGGGTTCTACCTTTGTGAACTCGGTACATGGTGAAGATCGGTATCCTGCATGTGGTCTGCGTGAGGTCAAGACGGAGGATCACCCGGAGGTGCCAAGCGTGGCAGGCGTGATAGACGTGTCAACTGGAATTGGCTTGTGGACTCATGACGAACCTCCGGGAGCTGGCACACCGAGGTACGAACCATTGAGAACATGAAGCCTCTTTTAATCCAGGCAACTCACTCCCAGAGACTAAGAACTTGAACCAAACAAAACAGGCCACAAACACCAGTCGACGAGGCAACGTCCTGTGCCACCTTGGACGCATCACGTCCCGAGCAGCATCCTATTCTCGGAGAGAGGCTGGGCTTCGATAAATGCAGTGGGCCATCACCTCACCCATCCGAAGCGCCCATGGACACGTCCACGGAATGTTCTGACGAGGAGGTCGATGACGTGCTCAACTACGTCCTTCAAGCTGTCTATGGCGTCGAGCTCGACGAGGTGACCGCTCCGCCGGACCTGATCCGTCACTTTGCGGCGCGCTTCATTCAAGACGTGGGTCGCGCTGCCTTCCGGTGGTCTCCCATCGCACACCCGACCCACGCTACGTCAACGTCCACCAGAGGATCGTCAACCGCGCCAGCACCGGCGGGGAGCACAACTCGGCGGAACTCGCAACAGCAACAACAACAGCAGCAGCAGCAGCAGGGCGGTAAACGGAAGAAGGCGGGCCCCGGTCGACCGGGCGACGAAGAAGGGGACAACATGGGGGACGAGGAGGGCGATTCCGGGGCGCCGTTCAAGAGGGCTAAACAGACCCCGAAGGAACCCGACGAGGGCCTGCGCTTGAGCTGCCCGTTTCGGAAGAAGAATCCGGCACGGTTCAACGTCAGGGAGCACTATTCATGCTCCATGACTTACTTTTCCAAGTTTGCGGAATTGAGGTGAGGCTTCTGCAGCCACCGGATAGTTGGCAGTGCACATAGAGAGAGAGAAGGGGGGGGAAGGGGGGGCAAGAACGAGGAATATAGCCGGCTGACAAAAAGGTCGTCGCAGACAGCACATCGTCAAGCAACACAAGCGGGTCGACCCGTCCGCCTTCGTCTGCGACCGGTGCAACCGCGACTTCCCTTGCCGCAAGGACCTGCGAGATCACCAGCGGCTCCCGCGTGAGCAGATGTGCGATATTACCGACCACGACCCCGAGTCGGGCATCGACGGATCTACGGCGACCAAGCTCCTCAGTAGGAAGAGGGCCAGCGGGATGTCAGCTGACGTACAATGGAGGGAGATATGGGGCCTTCTCTTCCCGGATGACGAGGATCACCAGGTCGAGAGTTGGGGTATGTCTCTTTCTTTCTTTCTTTCTTTCTTTCTTTCTTTCTTTCTTTCTTTCTTTCTTTCTTTCTTTCTTTCTTTCTTTCTTTCTTTCTTTCTTTCTTTTTTT